TTTTTATTGGTGGAAATTTCAAAAGGAATGAATTTTATTTTTTTTTTTTAAATATGTCTCAATTTAAATATTTTCCTATCTTTTTATTCAATTTTTCTTCAGAGCATCTCTGCAATTTCCGCTTTTCTCCCTCTCCACCACAAGAAGATATTTACTTAATTTTATTTTATTTTACTTAATTTTATTTCAAATTCTTGAGTTCGGAGATTTCGATAAATGTTTGCATAAATGGTGATAAAACTGGACGAATCAATAGTTTTTTTTTTTTTAAAGTGCAATGCGTTCGCAATCTTCGAAAATAAATTTTCTTGAATTTTATTTATACCACCACAATTTTTTCTCTTGAGAGCTTTGGATGGCAAATTTACACCCACATTATTTAAATAAAATCACACACACACACACACACACATACATACATACATACATACATATATATATATATATATATATATATATATATATATACGTAAACACATAAACATGCACACGTACTCAAATATATATATGATCAATTGTGGGTTAATCTTTTAGTGCTTATATATATTGTCTTGAGAGATTAATATTATAGAGCATTTCATGTATATGTGCGTATATATATGTGTGTATAATTGTGTGTATATGCATGAATGTATGTGTGTATATGTGAATGAATATATGTGTGTTCAAGCAAAACAAAGCAGCCCCGTTTTCTTATAAAATATGAAAGAAAAATTAATCATAAAATTTTCAGGTAATTCGACTACTGCGCATTTTAATTTTTGTACCGAGAACACTATCATAAAAAAGAAGAAAAATGAGAGTATGATTGTGTAATTACAGAGTATATTTAAGTCTTCCTCAACACTGAAATAAAATACTGTTTTATATATATATATATATATATATATATATATATATATATATATATATATATATAATTAACAGTGAAAATATCAGAGAGTGTACCAGCCAAAATAGTGATCAGAATAAATATGAGAAAATTTATTTACACTATTTATATTCGGATTATTGTCTTCATCTTTGTTGTTTTTATCACAACGTTTCGCCCGTTGCAACCTGCGGCCTTCCTCAGGTGTATATCGTTCTACAATTTTATCTGGTGCCCTCCACAATATCTGACTGATCTCGACTTTGCCGATGATCTTGCATTAATTTCTCAATGTATCAAGAATGCAGAATCTTTGCTGCAATCACTCGAGCAAGCAGTGAACAAGGTATGTCTCTTTAGTGAACCATCCATCCGAGTTGAAATCACTCAATAATACATCTATCAAAAGAGTTGGGGACTTCAAATATCTTGGATCTCACATAATAAATCCCCCCCCAAAAAAACTTCAACATTCGCAAAGCTGTTGCATGGAATGCGTGAAACGAACTTGACAACATTTGGCGATCGAAACTTTCATCCTCTTTAAAAGTCCAAAGCTTTTGAAAATTGATTGAACCAGTCCAAATGTATGGATTGGAAACATGGATATTATTTATTTGTCTTGAAAAATGACTGCATGAAATATATAAAAATTATGATTAGAAAAATCCAGAACATTAATTGGAAATCCCATGCAACGTTTAACACAATTTACGAAGAACTGAGACCAATCTCTCTTAATCTGAAACAAAAAAGTTTGCCGGCTACAGCCACTGAGCGTCTCATCCTTACTCTTATGGTATCCTTCTAGAAGCGTCCTCTCACGGAAACTGCCTTTCCCAGACACCATAGCTCGGGATTCAGGGTCAGACCATTGGGGATCTAGAAAGCGTGGAAAGAGATTTTTTAATGGAACCCTGATCAACCGTAGGGAGGTCGAAGGTCAATGATGATAACGATGGTTTGCAGAAGGCTTCCCAGAATGCCATTGATCGAATATGTAAGGAGCAAATATGTTTTAAGGAAAATCAAAATAAATCAATTCATGAGTTTGTATATACAGGGCACGATGGTAAAACTTTCACCATTTTATATCTGCAATTTCGCACATGCGCGTTGTTTTCAGTTTATTTTATCGACTGTACAGTATAGGAAAGTCAGTTGGACACCGTTTGGGATAAAAAGAGCAACCATGACGCAATTCACTCTGCCAGAAATTTGGAAACGGCATGTAGTACTGCTTGGAATTTATGGTGGAAGCTTCAATACGAACATTTCAGAGTTTAATGATGGCGATTTTATGCCTTCATTCATCTTTCCAAAGGGCCTCAGATTTAACATGGATGTCTACATCAAGTGTCTTGAGAAGGTAGTGCTGCTCTGGGTCAAGAGGGTGGCTGCTGAAAGACCCTATATCTGGCAACAGGACTCTGCACCATGCCGCACAAGCAGGAGAGTCAAGTCATGGCTGTCAGACAATTTTTGCGACCACCTCACACCTTACATCTGGCCACCTAACTCCGCAAACTTCAACCCCCCTTCATTGTGATGTGTGGGGTGCAGTAGAGCGAGAGAACACCTGTAGGAACAAAGATGAACTGAAGACAAGGATTATGGCCGCATTTATAAACTTAAACAAGGAGACCATTCAGAAGAATTTCAGGAGATTCCGAAGTCGTTTGGACGCCGTGGCTCAAGCCAGTTGTGATTTTATTGAATAAATTTATTCATTGGTATTTCAAAAAATGTTTGTGTAATTTTGGTGAATATATCTGCTAAAATGAGATGTCAATGTTATTTTCATTTTATCCATCGCGCTCTGTAGAAGTTAATATTTTTAAACATCCAGAGTAAGGATTTTTATTAGAAATTCTTTTAATGTCTTCTGAAATTCTGTGATAACTTTTTTTCCATATTCGATGAGTTATTCTGACTAGTATACTTATCTTTATTCTTTTAATCACTCCATGTCATCGCGTGGGCTCTTTGCTTTCCTAGAATTGTCAGAAATTCGGTGACGTAAGATTTTCATTTATTCACTAAATCAATCATCTAAGTTTTCTCATTTTTGTCGGAATGTTTCGGATGAGGATCTATCATTACTTATATATATTCGAACTATTTTCCTCATCCTTTTTTGTTGCTATCACAACGCTTCAGTCGACGTATCCTTAGGATGATAGCAGTTTTAAAAGTAAAGCAGGGTGGAACCAACCACTGAAACAGTACTTTTGGTACTACATTTTAGAAAGATAGATATAGACAGTCTGACAGATAGATAGATATGAACAAAATGAGATAGAATGACATAGACAGATAAATATGAACAGACATATATATATATATATATATATATATATATATATATATATAGAGAGAGAGAGAGAGAGAGAGAGAGAGAGAGAGAGAGAACAGATTTAGATATGAGCCGAATGAGATAAATACAGGAGTTGAACAAAAAAATTGGAACAGTTACAAAATCCACTCCTATATTTCAAAGACCTATTATATTAAGAACTTTAACTAAAACTTCGTAATTGCAGGTTATATCTATTGTAAATGAAGTTTATTTATCTAATTTACTGTGTTTGTCTTATTTATTTTTAGAATTTAGTAAAATTTAAGCGAAATGAGTGACCTCTCCGAGTTCGAAAAAGAGCAAATTGTTAGCGCTCGTATGACAGGAACCTCGATCACTATAGTTGCTGAACTGTTTGGTTTTTTAAGAGCTACCATATCAAGAACACTGATGCAATTCGAGAAACAGGGCAAGACCTCTGGCAACTGTAGCAATTCAGGTCAGACTTGCAAACTTACTGACAGGGACTGACGTGTATTGAAACGCAATGTGGCAAAAACTCATCGGATAAATGCGGCCAAAGTGACTGTTGAGTTGAATAACCATCTGAATAGTTTAGTTTCTACTAAAACTGTTCACCGTGAGCTCCATAAGGCTGCATATCATGGAAGAGCCGCTGTGAGGAAACCTCTTCTCTCCACTCGCAACATTCAAAAAAGGTTGAAGTGGTGCAGAGATCACATATTCTCAAACAAGTCCAGTTTTTCTCTTTTCCCAACTTCAAGGCGAGTTTATGTGTGGAGGCAGCCCAAAGACTGCCTTCTTCCAACAGTGAAGCATGGAGGTGGATCAGTGATAGTTTGGGTCGTCATATCACGGAAATGTCTCAGTCCAATAGTTGCCCTGCAGGGTAGAATCAACAGCAAAGATTACCTGAACATTTTGGGAGATCATGTTCATCCAATGACCAAGACTTTATTCCCTGATGGTGACTGCATCTTCCAAGACGATAATGCTCCAATACATACCGCTCGAGTGGTTAAGAATTGGTATGAAGAGCATGAAAGTGAGCTAGAATACATGGAGTGGCCTCCTCAATCTCAAGATATCAATATTATTGAACATTTTTGGAGCATTTTGGAGCAACAAGTTAGGAGCCGCTATCCTCCACCGTCGTGTCGTAAAGAGCTGGAAGATTTTGATGGAAGAATGACTGAAAATTCCTCTGGATAAAGTCAGGTAGATGTATGATTCCATTCCTAGACATATTAAAGCTGTCTGTGAGGCTAAAGGAGGACCAAATCCATATTAAATAAATTTTCTTTGAATTTAACAAGTGTTTCAATTATTTTGTTCAAACCCTGTAGATATGAACAGAATGTGATAGACTGAGAAAGAAAGACACACACACACACACACACACACATATATATATATATATATACACACATATACATATAAATATATATATATATATATATATATATATATATATATATATATACATAATGATAGATAGGAACAGAATGAGACGTATATGGACAGACTATGATAGATAGATAGATAGATAGATAGATAGATAGATATGAACAGAATGAAATCGATATATAGAGAGATATGATCAGAATAAGATAGATTGTGATAGATAAATAGACAAATATAAATAGATTGATATAAATAGATATATATATATAAACAGAATGAAATAGACTGAAATAAGTAGATAAGAACAGAATGAGGCATATAGGAGCAGACTCAGATAGATAGATAGATAGATAATGAACAAGCTGAAATAGATAGATAGATAGATAGATAGATATCAGACAGACATTAATAGATATGAACAGATAGATAGATAGATAGATAGATAGATAGATAGATATCAGACAGACATGAATATATATGAACAGATAGATAGATAGATAGATAGATAGATAGATAGATAGATATCACAGACATTAATAGATATGAACAGATAGATAGATAGATAGATAGATAGATAGATATCAGACAGACATTAATAGATATGAACAAATAGATAGATAGATAGATAGATAGATAGATAGATAGATAGATAGATATGAACAAACTGAGATAGTTATGAAAAGACTGACATAGATATGAGCAGACTGAGATAGATAGGTAGATAGAAAGAAAGAAAGAAAGAAAGAAAGAAAGAAAGAAAGAAAATAAAATGTTTACGATATACGTATGTTCCTTTACTAAACTATTTATCTCTGACTGACTTTGTGAATTAGCATTTCAAATTTTGTTAGGCTTCAACAATTTTTAGCATCAAATTTCTCCCAGGAATTTTATATTATTCTATTTTCAGTCGAGCAGAATAACATTGCCTGTATAAATATTTCCTTGACTTCCACACAGACTTTTATAGACATGTTTACAACATGTGTTCCCAATAAAATTCTATGGTAGCCTTTCAGAACAAAACTACACAGATTTCTCATAAATATTGGTTCTTCAGAAGATAGAAAGAAGGCTAATAGTTTTATATATGGTCGCTGAATAATATTTTCTGGTTCATTAAAATTAAATTTTAGAGACAACTGTGGAAGATTATCAGATTATTTACGGGAGGATTATGCTATTTTTGTTTCAGGAATGTGACTAAAATAATTCCTGAGCAAATCGAACGTAGATTTCATCGCTACGTTGAAACGTGCTAAGAAAAAAAAAAATATCGCTAAAGGCCTGCCATATCAGCAATTAACTCAAAGGCCGTTGGAAGAAATCCTAGTTACGGGACAAGGGATTCATAAACGTTACCTACAAAAGGGTAAAAAATAAGAGCTACATTTATTCATTGAATAAATTCTTCAAATATCGCCTTTCCTTGTGGGAAAACTGCGAACCTTGAAGACTAAAATGCGAATGATGGGAATTGGTGTTCTGTGGCGGTAATGTGATTAGCAGGAATTTCATTTTTATGGCTAAAATGTGAATGACCAGAACTTTATTTCTATGGCTAAAATGTGAATGACCAAAACTTCATTTCTATGGCTAAAATGTGATTGGCGAGAATTTCATTTCTATGGCTAAAGTGTGAATGACCAGAACTTCATTTCTATGGCTAAAATCTGATTGGCGAGAATTTCATTTCTATGGCTAAAGTGTGAATGACCAGAACTTCATTTCTATGGCTAAAATGTGATTGGCGAGAATTTCATTTCTATGGCTAAAGTGTGAATGACCAGAACTTCATTTCTATGGATCAAATGTAAATGACTAGAATTATTTAGTTATTATGCATCTGTGTACAGTTAATTATATGAAAGTTTGTTTATTCATTAGTTGGAAATAAAATAAATTGAACATTTCTGTGTGTACAAATATTTCTTTCCCCCGCGACTGAATATAAACATTATATATAAATATCCAGAACAGTGAAAATACTTCATCTGAGAATTTAAAAAAATAGAAGACCAATTCATATATCGGACTCAATTTGATACAAAATTCCTAAAATTAAATCCGTCGGAATAATAAATGCAATAAATAATAAACACAATGGAAAAATATTTTTTAAAAAAAGGCAGTAACTTTTCAAAAAATAAATACTAACATTGATTTTACACTATTTACATTATTCAGACTGTTGTCCTCGTCTTGGTTGTCATATTCACGATATTTCGGCCGTTGCACATTACGGCCTTCTTCAGGTAATTGAAATTTCGAACTGAACCCTTTATGTCGTCTACTTGGGTAGATTGTTCTTGTTCCACGTGCCATGCCTCTACCAAATGTATCAGTTTCAATTATTTCCCTTTAGTAACTGTTGTGGAGTTATTTCGCAGTGGAGGCTTGTATTTGTACTAATAGTTCGACGTACAAAATGTTAGGAACTTGATAAAATAGGTATTACGCAGAGTAATGTTGTTGTGGTCGCTGACTACTTTCGTATTCGACTAACTGTCGACCGACATCGACTGACCCTTGTTTCTCTTACTACTCCTACTTATATTAGGTGGGAGAGTCTATTAACTATAGAGTAGGTGTGTTTCACCATAACAGTAACTCAACTCTCCAATTTTTTGTTTACCTCTGCTGTGGCCAGGTATTGAACTCATAACTCTTTGGGTCACGTCAATCGATTACTTCAGTCAACGCGTTTATCCACTGGGCCATGTATCTTTGAGGAATATGACAACCAAGATGAGGACAACATTCCGAACAATGTAAATAGTGTAAATAGTTAAAATACCTTATGTCCGAAATATATAGACAGATTGTAGCGTACAACGGCCGAAACGTCGTGAATAACAATAAAGATAAGGACGACAGTCCGAACACTGTAAATAGTGTAAATAGTTACATTATCACATCTCAAAAATATAGACAGATCCTGAAGAGTTCCGGAGCGTATAACAGCCGAAACGTCGTGAATGTTACAATAAAGATAAGGACAACAGTCCGAACAATGTAAATAGTGTAAATAGTTACAATACCTCGTCTTAGAAATATAAACAGTTACTTCGAGTTTTAAGAAATTTTCACAATTAAAAATGTTGTGATATAGACAAAGATTTTCCCGGTTAAATTGTTAATTCAAAATCTAAAACAAATCTTGTGAAATGATTGATTTGGAAAAGAGAAACATTTGGCTAAAAGAATCGACTGAAAGGTAATCTTGGCAAAGTATTTAAAAAAAAAAACAGTAAGAAAAATGACCAATGCGTTTATCCATGAGGGTAAATATGTTTCTTAAACATTACTTACGTTTTGAAAAAAAAAAAAAAAAAAAAAAAAAAAGGACCACACTCAGTTTCTTGGAATTTCGTCTTAGTAGATCCTAAATCGAAATTAGTCGATGCTAGACAAATGTCTTGGAGGGGATATCGGGGCATAGAATTTATTAATAACGAAAGGCATTCTTTTTTTTTATCTGTAAGAAACAATGATTTCTTTCTAAATATATATTCTAATCCAAGATTGTTCGTGTAATTTGTAAAAGTAGTGAGTGGACATCTTAGGAAAGAAAGAAGCCATTGGCGAGTTTTGGGTAGCAAAGCTTTTAATATAAAAGAGATTTCGATTTTCATGAAATATTTACTTTTAAATTATCCTGCTAATTCTAGATTTGGAGTCATACTTTTCTCTAATGTCCAAAATTTATGATGTCTTGTTGATATTCAATGAATCTTTTTGACTATCAGCATCTTTATTATTTTTCTCAGAGATTCAGAGTAGGGGCTGGTCATCGCCTTACATGAAACGATGCATCTCGTATTTTGTTAATGATGGACAAGATCCTGGTATCCAGAATTGAAATACCTCCAAGTGTAGGTGACTCGTTCGCTTGTTCCTACTATAGCCATTAGTCACTGAATTTCATGCTCCAAAAGCCTGCTGGCTTGAAATAAACTTAGAGACAACAACCAATTATGAGGTTGTGCTGATGGCGGGAACAGGAAGCGGAATTCCAAGAGAAGCTATTAAAAGAAAGCATGAAGAAAGGACTCATCATTAATTGTTAAAAAATGGAATCTACTTTTGCCTGTAATTGAACAACCAAGACGTGAGCTACGAATTAGAAACGTCAAAATTAAGCAAGTCCAGGAATTTAAATATCCTAGCAGTGTCATAAAAAACGATGGAAAATGTGACACAGAAATCCGAAGTCTCGTTGAAACGCCAAAAAATGCTTACCAATAGCTAAACAAAGTATTAAGAAAAAGGAAAATGCTACAAACAAAGAATAAACTGATGAACTTTTATGTAATAGCAATCGTTATGCTAGTGAATGCTGGGCAGTTTCCTCACAGATAAAGAAGAGAATTGTGGCATCAGAGATGTGGTTCTACAGAAGGATGATGAGAATTCCCCGGATGGAACACGTTCAACGAGGAAGTTTTAAGGGAAATGAAACAAAAACACAATTATAGTTATAATCAGGAATATTCAGTTGATGTTTCTGAGATACAAAATGAGGAAAGGGGGCTTGGAGAATTTGATAAGCACAGGAAAATTTGAAGGCAAAAGGGACAGAGAGAAAAAGCGTAAAATCTACTTAAGAAATTTTTGAAAATGAGATCGCAACAGGTGCTGGGAGGAAAGGGAAAGCGGATAGGAAGTTGGGGAGAGACATGCTCACTTATGGCTTGAAGTGACACAACACCAAAATGGTGATTCAAAGATTTGGCAAAAACTGTCATTACCCCCCGGAATACAGCAAAAACATTTTTCATACGTTCTATTGCTTTTGAAGCATGGTCATAATTAAAATATTGTGAAAGTTATGCAAAAAAACCTGTTGGATTTTGAAAATGTTTTATTCTTGCGTTTAAGTTTCGTTAACTTTTAAGTTAGCATTTTCAAAACATGACTGTTTATGTTTTAGCAGAACAGGAACTAGTTTGATTAGTACAGGGAAAAATAGCTTAAGAAGATGTCGAAAGTCCTGATCAAGCACGTACTAAAAGAGCAAAGTATATAAAAGAAGAATATCAAAGAAGATCGGTTTTCTGAGACTAGGTGTTTTTATGTGATATATTGGTATAAAAGAATTAGACCAATTCAGCGTTTCGAAATAGGCAACAATGGCACTATCGGCCACTTTCCTCTTCCGGTTAGCCTACCACTTGCCATAATCTAATAACAGAAATATGGCGGCAATGTTAAGGTGAAGACTGAAAGTATTATCTTGCTACATACGTACGAAAATACCCAATATGGACAAAATAAACAATTCAGTTACCTTCTCTTTCCTTTTCCCGCTAGTATACAAAAAAATCAACACTAAAGCAAACGATAATAAACCTCTGCGATAAAAAAATATCATTATCCTAGCAGACAACACATCTACTAATATTTTGACACTTGGATATATACTTGAAAATAAAAGAAACAAAATATTGCAAAATAAATGTACATTCGAAAAATTAACAAAATACTTTTTTATTATTATTTTAATTTTTTAACCTATAGGAGGATAGGTATCACGTAACAATTAAGTCCTCTTTTCTTTGTTTCTAACAAAGTTTTTCTGTCTCTTAATATTTTGCTTAGATTTTAGAATGTATCTTTGGTTCTCACAATGCGTCTTCAGATTTCAGTATCGCACTTTCCGTCCTCTGTTAAAACACTTCACTGATATTTAATTTGATATGTTGTTAAAAATTCTATAACTTGAATTATTCAAGTCTGTCCATTTTTTCACAATTTCTGACTGCATTAGATGCTTGACCATGCGGCATCAAGTGCACGAAATGCACACCTTTTGCATCCCAGAACATTTTTACAGTCAGTTTCTTCACTGACTACTTTGAGTTGACAATAGATGCGTCCATCTCATTGAATCAATATTTGTCTAGATTAACCTGATGCATCCAGTTTTCATGAACTGTGATCCTGTACTTAAAAAGTCCCCAAAAGATCCCCCTATACTCGTCAAAAAGCTCAAAAGGAATTCATGTCTGCTTAAAAATGCTTTCTTTAGTGGATGCGAAGTTGGATTTTTTTCCCGTTTGGCACGTAAAAGTCACACATCTCAATGTTTGTTCAGTCAACTTTTACGGTGATGTCACGTAGGCATACCCGGTTCATATGAAGGCTGTTCTGGCTGTTACAACAAGTATACATACCTACTTTTGTTTTACCTTTATAATTTTCGCAATGTTTGAATTCCGGCCGATAACTTTTATCTTACTTTTCAGATGTCCAAAATGTCAGACAAAAATAACTTTTATTTCGATTTGATCAGGAAAATATTTTTTTTCGTCCTTTGAACCCTATCAAAATGTTTCCCGTAAATGGAAATGCCTGCCAAACACGTCCATCAGATGAATATTTCTTTTCTTTTTCCACATCCTTTTTTCCTATCTTCTCAAGACCTATCTTGACAGGAGTTCTTCCCTAGCATTCAACAGTTGATATTGAATCCAAACCAATTAATATTGTTGAATCCGAACCAAAAAAAAAAAAAA